TTTGCTTCTCGATCATCACGTCCAATTTTGACAATACAGCCTGTTGAAAGTCTAGCAAGTGTATGAAATAAATATGTACATAACTAACATAAGCAAACAAAAAAGTAAAGTATGGTGCCTAATACATGTCAGATGTGTATAGCATGTCATATATATAGATTCCCCGGTAGAACTTTACCATGACCGTGTCTTTGCATGGAAATGCTGTACGTAACTGTTTTACACTCGAAGTATTGAACTACACAATAGCTTACTGTCTGGTTGCTCCTGCCTCAAATTCCGGTGGCTCAACTTTGGCGTTTCATCACTAACCATACTGGGACTTGAACCTGTCAATACAACAAATTTAAATGAAAATGGTAAAATAAGTGAGATACAATACTGTATGCAAGACACACATACTAAACTGTTGCAACAGTAAACAAACAGCAATATTTATACATGGCAAACCCCTTGTCGGTCCGGGCTTAAACAGAAGAATCCAGTGAACAGCTGTATTAAGCTAGTTATTAGTCCATTGATTTTTGCAATTTACTGGACACATTTTAATAATTAACAAACTAGACATACCTGTACTCCTGTGGGTACTCTTTCCAGCTGATGTGCGGGCTTTTGGTGTACTCGCAATATTAGATTGCCGATGAACATTAGTATCTATTGTAAATGGCAGATGTTAGCACGAGGTAGTTATACACAATTACCATCCGATTGCTCCTGTCTCCGGTTGCTCGATCTTGATGCTTCATTACCAATGGAAGCTGGACATGAACTCGAACCTGGAAGTAAATTGAAATAAAAATAGGCAATTATAATTCAATTAAGGTGACATGGGCGCTTTCCATCATTCGATAACATTAGAATAAGGTCCATTTTCGCTAGATATTTGAAAAACATTGACACAGAGAAAACAATTCGGGTCTGACCGGTCAGGCCATTAAATGGAAAGCGCCGATATTATCCATAATCATTGTAACACACGCATACTGTAATTAAAACGAGCTGATCTTTAAATAAAAGCAACTGAACAGGAAAATATCAATGATACCAGTTATTAGATATATCAAAAACGTATCACTTACCAGTTCCAAGTAAGTCTAGATTTAAGCTTGGTGCGTTTAATGGCTGATCTTCAAATATGTCTTAATAACACATTAAAAAACAAAGATTAGGAATGATACATGCAATATGTGCTGACAAGGCCATAAATTACTATTTAGATTTGCAAAGGCCAACCTTTGAATTGGCTGTTACATATATATGTTTCTAAGTACAATATATAATATTTCAGTGTTTACCATTTCTTAAAATCTGGTTAACTCCAGAAATTAAATCACGCTCAGGAAAAGTGTCCTCAGTTACGTGAAATCCATGCGAGAAATTTTGGCCAGAAGTTTGTGAACATGATGATAATTGTTGATTGTTCATATCTGATGATTGCTGACTGTTCATAAAATATGTTGGTGGTACTGGCATCATTGGTGCAAGCTGGCGTGGAGCAGGGGGATACTGAGGAGACATTGCAGATCTTTTCTTCTTTGATGGACTTGGGGTATCACTCTCATCGTCTTAATAAGATAAAAATTCCAGTGAAGCACTCAGTAAAGGAATTTTAAGTTACAAAGTATTACTGTATATAATTTACAGTTTAATAATTAATTTTCCATTTCCCGAGATAAAATTTTAAACAGGCCTGAAACACAGGGCCGTTGCGAAGGGATATGGATTGGGGGGGTGTCGAAGGTCAAATTGCCGAGTGACGCTAGTTGAATTTGCCGAGTTTTTCAAAAGTTTGTAAAGGTTAGATATAGGTAATGATTGAGAATCATATTGGTGTGCTAGTAACTGAGGGACACCAATATGGCTCTTGTTTTGAAATGGATGCCTGTTCGTGGGTTGTTGTATATTAAACATATAAAGCTGAAAAAAAAATTTAATTTAACATAATTTCACAAGTCCTAAATCGAGACTGAAACTACGTGCACACGGGTCACGTTTTTGAGCGTTTTTGCAGTGCCGTTTTCAAATTAGCGTTTAGGCGCCTTGTTCACATTGATCGTTTTTCTCGCAACATTTTCTGACAAAGCACTAGTTTTTTATAGTCTTCGTTTCCAAATTCAAACACGGAATTTCATTTTCGCCTTCTACTTTTCTGTTTACACAATAACAAAGTGCCAAAACGACCAAACGTTTCAGACATAGAGAACGAATGTTTGGCATCGTTTTCACTATTTGAAACGTTTTTGCTTCCTGACGTCGTTTTCATACGTTTTCGTGTGAACAGAACGTACGTGAAAATGGTACTTTCAGTTTCAGAAATTAACGCATTAATTACAACCAAAACCCGAAAAACGCTCGGAAACGACACCGTGTGCATATAGTCTGAGTAACGAGTGTCTTAGACTGTGGTGCAGACGCGCATATCCGCAAAGTCAGAAAAGTTATCCAAGTATTACCCTGGTTCCAGAGGTTTATTTTTATTATTTTCATTGCGAAGGGGAGAGGAAAAATAAACTTCTGGTTGAAAGCGGCAATTGATTCATTGAGCCGCGTCAATCAGTTTGAATTAGGGTCTGATCCTGATTGGGTGATCGTATTAAAGCTCTCTGATTGGTTATGGATGATCTATTTGAACGAATCAGAGAACTTTAATACAATCATCCAGTCAGGAGACAGAGTCAGGATCTGACCCTAATTCAAACTGATTGGCGCAGCTCAATGAATCAATTGCCGCTTTCAACCAGAGGTTTATTTTCCCTCTCCCCTTCGCAATGAAAATAATAAGAATAAACCTCTGGAACCAGGGTATCCATGCAAGTATCTGCATGTGATTGCATTGATATTTTATTTCAATATTTTCATGGCAATTTGATGAATTTGACCTTTTTTATCCCCAGGCGCCGAATAGACAATTTATATATAATTATTTGTATTTTGAGCAGTCTTAAAACTCTTAGTGCCGGGTAGTGTTAACCTGGGCTTTTGTACGACCCAATTTTCCAAGAGTTTAAATTTTATGCATCAGAAAGCGAGTAAAACGGATATGATCATATGCAACCGATCAGTGATACCGATCGCTGTATGCGGTATGTCTTTCAAAACTGTAGGCTGATCAGAGTTAACAGCAATTTCGCTAAAGAACTAAAGAAGACAAGTCCGTTCTTATCAGTGGCATGGCTCGCCTTTCTCTTGGTCTTCTTCTCATCTGCAATATGACAAAAAAAGGTCGACCAGAAAAACACTAAGCCTAAGGCTTAGATCTACAGCAGTGTTAACTATATAGATATAAATTTTTAACCCACGGCTAAAACGTGTCGTGATCAATATTTGTGGCTCACACCATGAAATATTTCCTTTGTCGTATAAACACTACAGGTTCGGTTTAAAATACAGGCAACATTTATGCTTAAAATCGGTCATTATGGGATTGCTGTTAATTTATAACCAATTCCAAAAACTACAGATGTGTCAATATAAATTCAATACTGACACATGTTGAATATAAACTGACTAAAACGGTCAAGTAAATTGTCTACCTAAAATGATAATTAGGGATTTCGCGACGTTCACAACAGGAGACATTTTGAATAAAATTAAGGTATTGTCCCAAGCTCAAAACACATGCAATTTGCCGTTGTCACGGTAAATTTGTTCAACGATTACCAGTTCGTCAACTTTGGTGAGTACAATTCTTTTATCATTAAAATATGAATTCATTCACTATAAACAATATCGACTTATCACCGATCTCTGTAAGTTTTCATTAATAGGGTATAGAGCGGTGGAATACAATCCGAAGAATGAGAGTTTAATAAGTCTCATGTTTTACTTGTAGATTATAAGGACTCCCCACAAATCTCGGTAGCCTTGATAGTTCAATTGTAGACTAGATGTGTACATATTTGCGAGCAGTATTGAGTTTAAAGCCCGAATCGAACGAAGACGAGATCGCGTGACAGTGCCAGCAACCTTTGTTATGGATGCTCAATGACACACTATATCAACATTGTCGGAATCCTTAATTATTTCATCGTCGCTTAAATCTTGTGTGCTTATGAATTAGCCTATAAGTCCTCACTTCTTCCTCTGAACCGGTAGAGCAGCAAACTAGATTGCAATAAGTCCAATAAGGGTTGCCAGCATAAAACTTGCGCCTTGTTTATATAGGATGAGATCTCATCATCAATTTTTTCTACCAGACTAATTGATACTGATTCACGGCACGAAAATAATATTCAACAGTCAAATTAAATTTCAAATTCAATATTCAATAATCGTAACGATTCTTGGTTATCAGAACCGTCTTACACTATATATCCTGAATTAAAAAGTCTTAAAAATGGCTAAAGTTTAAAATTGGCAACGGAATACACTAAGAAATTTATGATAAATAAAAGTGTATACTCTACTAAATTATGCAGAATAATTTAAAATGTTTATCAGATAAAACTGATAACATTTGAAGACAAAGAATTCTTCTGAAATCTTAGTTTTACAAGTAATAGTTTACAAAAGACAAGATCATACACATTTTCTCTAAGAAGTGGTTTGGGAAGACGACATATAGAGGGTAATCAGTATTCTTTAGTTGCTCCAAGTATTCTTTCCCTGTATACACGCTATTAAATGGCGGCACTTGAGATAGATTAGAGAGGTTAAGATACCCCGGTTCCGATTTACGGGTACGAGTATCGCCATTTTGTTTACCAATTTTTGCTGATGTCAGCAATTTTACCCGTAATTTCTACACGTTTACCCGCGGTAAACTGTGGTCTACACGTAAACGACAAACGGGTACGGGTGTTTCCTGTTTACTATTTTTGGGCCGTTTAAATAGTACAAATTTTCAACATCTTACCCAAATAAATAATGCACATATACTGGTCAAAGCTTTTAACAATTTATGGCGAACCTCAACAGCGAAAGTTGTCATTCTCTTATTGTTTTTCTCACGCCGCGGAGTATCTTGGATTCCTTAAGCTACAAGCTATACCCCGATTTACGGGTACGTGTATATCGCTCAACCGATTATCGCTCAACCGATTTTGAGATATTGTTGGGATCTCGATCGATTGAATAATAATTGAAGGGTCTTGTGTAGATGGAAACTAACGAGTGTGCGTTCATACACATTTATTTGACTTAACTTGAAACAGCTGCGAAAAATACAACAAAAGGTTACCGGCAGGGGATCGAACTTGCGACCCAGCACCTCCGGTACAGCGCTCTAACCGACTGACCTACAGAATCCAGTTGTCGAGCTGTTCATGTATGGGTACTGCCATGTTAGGTTATAGGTAAATAGAACAAATAAATGTAAATTTTATACATTTATTTAGATTTAACTAACAGCAGTTGCGAAATGGGGAACCGTACGCCCTGTGCATGTCACCTGCAGCCCTGCGGGTACCCTTAAAGGCTATAGTTTAGTAGTTTCCACTCAGGAAAATTATCCGTGGATAGGAAGGGACAAGAAAGTTTTTCTTTCTCTTGTGAGCCCTAGGTTGGAACTAATGAGTTTAAGATAGCCCGCGTGCAGGCCCAGGGGAACTGATAGTGGGCCTGCAAGCAAGGCCCGGTATTTTGTAAAACGCCCCATTTCATAACACGCCCCATTCGCGCGTCGATTGTCAAAAAAGAACCAATGACAGCAACCCAAATATTAACAAACAAACTCGCATTAAAATGTTGTGGGGTTTTCTCTGCTTATTCAGAACATAAACAATGTGTAAATGGCTGCGTTTTAACTCCAAAAAAGCAAGCAACGCAGTCAGTAATTGCCAAATTTGCAAGTGCTCATTTTCAACTAAAATCGGAACAGGCAAATTAGGACGAATTTCAACAGAAAACCAGTCTCAAACATCAAATCATGAGGGAAGTCATGCGACACATTAGCATTTATAATGTGTGCTTCGCTGTCGCCATTGTTATAAATAAGTTGTCTCACTTATCAGACCGTGTGTGCAATTCTTGTTGGCGGCGGAAAGTACGAAATTTATTTCAGTTATTTCATTTGGTAAAGAACTCTACTAGAGAAGAGAGCGTTCAGAGTCCAGATCGTTTCGTTTCAAACGGCAATTTAATACCGTCTTCTGTTTCGCTCTCTCAGCGAGGCCTTGTAAATCGCAGCAAAGTGTTTCGAACAGGCTTACATGCAACTGCATCTCAACATCAACCAAAAGATAATTTTCTTGAGGAACATATAACGTATCAATTCTGTTTGAAATTAATGAAACTCAAGTAAAGGTTATACTATAGTTTACCCCAGTCGTAATGTTGCTATTAAAACACCTCACGACAAGCGATCCCCATTGGCATAACGCCAAAAACATTTCTTCCTTCAAGTAAACAATAAACAGTCTGTTCTTGTTCCATTTATAATCGAAAAAAGTGATCAATTTTCGAATTTTGAGCTTATCGAGAGCCTTTGTGATGAATCACTGACCTAATTTTAGAATCCAACAGCAAACAACCAATCAGAATGCCGCGTTCGTGGGCGAACGCGGAAAGTACAAAATACCGGGCCTTGCTTGCAGGCCCACTATCAGTTCCCTTGGGCCTGCACGCGGGCTAAGTTTAAGACAAAGAAAAATTTTCTTGTCCGTTCCAATCCACGGATAATTTTCCTGAGTGGAAACTAGCCTTGACATATCTTCTTACGATTCAGCTTTTGTGCACTCATTCATTGCGAGGACGTTGGAAATTTGGAAAATCGATAGTGAAATCGAGTATTACCTTTTGTAAACTATGGTTTACAAACTGTCTAGAATTGCCAATGAAGAGCGTCAGATTTCACTAGAACATCCTATGGCACTTTATAATATGGCAACGCTATCATCATCTGCACCATGCGGCATTTTGATTGGTTCATGAGCGGTCGGTAACCTGCATAATAATATACATAAAAAATATTACTCGACTGTGATTGGTTGATTTCAGTGCAGTTCGTGAATATGAAACAGCAGTGCAAAATTTATTATCACGATGCAATTTTTTTGTAATCACAGTGCAATTTTTTGTAATCAAAGAACATTTTATGTATATTATTAATACGTAATATGATGATTTCTCGTGAAATTTGGATAAAACAAGCACTCTTCAAATAGCAGTCGTGAATGAATGTGATACTTGAGTAGCGATATATGAATATTCCTCATTAATTATTTTCCTTTTGTCTTATGTTTTATTATACGCATGCCTATTCGATCACGTATAAAACATTATTTGTTATCTGAGCGACACATATTTGCAAGCACGGTCTTGTTGTTATAGACAGGGATAAATTTTCCCCCATATGCCTCTGCGTCACGTGATACCCCTTGTGAGACTATGTGACTCCTGATAAAACACCCCCTACCCCAAAAGCGTCACGTATTTTGTGAATGGCCCCTTACACGTAGGATGATAGCACTACAGTACAGGTAGAACGGTAGCATGCGAGTATGCTCGATGGTTAAATAGAGCCTGCTACTGAAGTCAATTAATGGGTAAATAAAGCCGGCTACTGAAGTCAATTAAATTTTGATTTATGCGTACGCAAAATTCCCACTGGTCAGAAATAGATGGCCTTTCGTTTAAAGGCAATATCAAGTTCCTGTGTACTTCAGATCATAGCCTATCGAAAGTAAAGATGGCTCTGAAACTCATTAGAATAACAATATAACTCATTATCTATGTTAGTCAACGTTTATTTATAAATCTGGTCCTTCACCGTGCGTATTGTATTTTTGCCCAACTAACCAATAGCAATGCTTTAGGAAAGTTACCTATCCGTGACTCGAACGATAGGGTAAATTGGAAATTGCCATTGGCGGACTTGGCAGAAATACAATACACACGTGATGGTGAAGGACCGTATTTATGAATAAACGTTGATTAACATAGACAATGAATATATTGTCATTCCAATGAGTTTCACAGCCATCTTCCCTTCGATAGGCTAATCCACCTTATCACAACCCGCACACCCGATTACCTATATATACATGAACTTACGGTTACAGCTCAACAGCTGGCCTCTGTAGCTCAGTTGGTTAGAGCACTGCACCGGAATCGCAGGGCCGTAGGTTCAATTCCTACCAGAGGACCTTGTGCTGCATTTTTCGCAGTCGTTCCTGGTTAGGTCTTAAAATGTATATATTCTCACTTGGATTACAAACCCTAACATCCTAAGTTCAGATGATACTGTCGTTTAGACTGGCAGCCGGCGAGGGGCATTTTGCTAAACAACGTCAACGCCACGCGACGGGTCGCTTGTATCGCAAAAAAAACAGACCGATTTTCATACGACAAGCATTATCTATCGGACCAATGACACCTATGTGAAAAGAGTCAGTCAACGCTCTACCGAAAGTCGTGGGTTTTCTCCGGGTTCCTCACGCAGGGAGTGTTGACAGGGTGTGGGTTAGGAATGCCCCCTAACTGACCCTTTCACCGTGGCTGTGCATAACTCTTCTGTTATACCCAGGCTTTTAGCCAGAAGGGCGTCCAGGCGTCCTGGGACGCCCCTAGAACGAAAAGTGGACTCCTTTGGACGCCCAAATTCCGGGGTGGAAAGGAAAATTATTTTCAATTATTTCCCTATTAAGTATATTAATATGTTCGAAACGAATTAGCTTCAATTCTCATTTTTGTTATACATTTGACATTTTGATCGATTTGATGGCTGGCTGAACGATAATGTCGTAGTTAAGTAAAGAAACATAATGATTTTTGAGACGTTCTCTGGTTGGAAATTTTTATTCACGAGCTTTCGGCTGCCAGACTGCAGCATACAGTGTATTTTATAATTTTAAAATACACTGTATTTTATAACTACCCGTTGAAGGCTGCAGCCTGGCAGCCGAAAGCTCGTGAATAAAAATTTCCAACCAGAGAACGTCTCAAAAATCATTATGTTCAATCCTGGTCGCACTTCCTGCATATTTAAAGAAACACAGCGGCACAAACTCACAAAGGCAAAGCCAATTGTGTTTCGAACGAGCACGGAACAGTTACTACCATGCAGTAACGTAAACTTCAAAGGTTTTCCAGAGGAACGGTTTCTCACCCCCCCCCCCCCCCCCCCCCCCCCCCCCCCCCCCCCCCCCCC